CAGCAAGGTCCCACCAAGGCAAAAACAATTCAAACCCTCCCAGTTCCCTGCTCCCTTTCAAGGGCTCGTCATCAGCACTGATAGAGATCCACACCTCGGAGCACAAACAAGGAGGCGGCCAAGGAACCCGCGGGAACGGCAACTGAGACTCGTGGAGCCCTGGCCAGGGCCAGAGCCGCTGCAGATGCTTCTCCAGGGACTCCCTGGGCTGTGATTTGAGATGAGCACTGATCAGATGAGGCGTCGTTCACGCAGGAAGGACGAGGCCAATGCACAAACCACAGCCCAACCAGCCAGCCTGGGCTCCACCATCGCCTCTCCCTGCAAGGCAGGGCCTCCTTTTTGCAGTTTTTTTGAGCCTTTCTGAAGTGAGGAGTACAGTGCTGACACTGCATTAAGAGCATCAAAGTCACCAGTCCTTACTCCCACCTGATGTCCCATTTCCTCACTCCCATCTGATGTCCCATTTCCTCACTCCCACCTGATGCTTTTTGGCACCACCCAAAAGCACAGACTCAGCAGAGGTTCAGTCCTGCAGGGATTTTGGAGGTGTCCCAGGTGCTCCATGTCCCTACAGGAACCCCGTGTCCCTACAGGAGCTCTGTGTCCCTACAGGGGCTCCGTGTCCCTACAGGAGCTCTGTGTCCCTACAGGGGCTCCTTGTCCCTATAGATGTTTGGTGTCTCTGCAGGAGGGGAACCAGCTGCTCTCACACCACCAGAGCATCTGGAGAGCTCCATCCTCCCAGGTCCAGTCCTCCCAGACATCTCCGAAAAGGAGCACAGGGGGAAGGATTCCCAGCTCCTCTCTGAATGCCTCAGGACATTTAATTTTTCACAACAGCAGGACCCTGACTCAGGGCCGGCTCCCCCAGCTGGTCCCACCATCCTGGGCAGCTCCTCCTGCCCAAACCAGCTCCAGCTCTGCTCTCCCCTCACCCTGGGCTCAGCCCTGGACCTGCTCAGGTGAGGGCACTGGGAAAGTCCTCTGGCAGAGCTCCCGGGAGGGCAGAGCTGTGTGCTTGTGTGCTCGTGGCCCCAGGTGCAGCCCTCGATGCAGAGCTCGGCTCTGTGGAAACCTCGGTTCTGGAAAAGCTGCGCTGCCCGTGATGCAACCCGGGAAACTCTGGCCATCCTGGCTGCTCCCAAGGGGACCAGGTGGAGGAACCAGCCTGGTTTAGGGGCTGATCCTAAACCATAACCTTACCTGTGATGAACCAGCCTGGTTTAGGGGCTGATCCTAAACCATAACCCCACCTGTGATGAACCAGTCTGGTTTAGGAGCTGACCCTAAACCATAACCCCACCTGTGATGAACCAGCCTGGTTTAAGAGCTCACCCTAAACCATAACCCCACCTCCAAGGATCCAGCTGGTTTAGGAGCTGACCCTAACCCATAACCCCACCTCCAAGGATCCAGCTGGTTTAGGGGCTGATCCTACCCCATAACCCCACCTCCCTTCCTCTCCCTCCCCCACAGCCCCGGGCCCTTTGCTCACACACAGTTCCTGCAATTCCTGGCCCTCGGCTTCTTCGAGGCTTCCGCCACCATCTGGGCTCCATTTAGGGGAGCTGATGTTTTTCACAGGGCTGTAATCTAAACTTTGGGATTGAGTTTACATCTCGCATACCAGCGTCTCACCGCTGGGCCTGGCGGCTGCCAGCCCTGTGCCGGCGGCTCCGGGTACCTGGGAACGGTGCAGGGTCAGCGCAGGGATCCCAAATCAGGGATCCAGCCACCAACCACCTCTGGATCCAGCCAGGCACTGTCCCTGCAGTGGGTGAGAGCCCAAGGAGCTGGGAATCAGCTTCGCTTGCCCCGGGAGGCTGCGATGGGAGACAAAGCCCCACATCAGCTTTGCCATCCATCGCCAGCAGCAGGAAATTCCCCAGCCCGGGCAGCTGGAGATGCGAGGGCAGGAAGGAGGAGCAATTTGGGAGCAGGGATGCGGAGAGGCAGGTCCAGCCCTGCTTGTGCTCAAAGCCCAGGGTGACAGACCCACCTCAGGGCCCGGCGAGGCTCCTGACCCAGCCCTCAGGTGACAACTGGCCCCCCCAAATCCCTGCCAGCCCCCCACACGCCCTCGCCACCTTCCTCCACCCTCCTCGCCGGCTGCAAGGTGGGCAGAGCCACAGGCAGTGTCCAGAGGCAGCCAAGGTGGCTCGATCCCAGCAATCCACGAGGCTCAGCCAAACCCAAAAAATAATGTTTTCATACTTTGACTTTTCAGGCAGGATTTAGTCATTTGTGGACACGAGGCCTTGGCAGTGCTGCACTGCCTCCACTCACCTACCCCGGCCCGCGGCTGTTTACGGCGGCGGAGCCTTGGAAGGAGAGGGAAGATTTGTGGTTTAATCCAGGTGAATTATTCCTGCTCGCTTCTATGGAGCCTGCAGCTGGTGGGGAAGGAAGGATTCAGCATCCCTGCACAGACCCACAGCAGGAGAAGAGGCGTCACAACACAGCCCAGCCCCACAGCTCCACAAACGCTGCCTGGACAAACCCAGCAGGACTTTTGCCCCGTCCACCTGACGGCTAAAAAATAAGTTAAGGGCAGAGAAGCCAAGCCCTGGCTGGGCACGCTCGTGGTAAAAGAAGAGTGGCTGAGAGCTGCTCTGCCATAGGAGAAAAGCAGGTTCCACCCCAGCCTCGTGGGGCTGTGCAGGCTCTGTTTGCTCAGCCTGGCACGGGGCACTCAGAGCTGCCAGGGGGAGGGAAGGGCTGAGGGATACAGGCCCTGGTGGCTGCCAGGGTATCCCTCAGGAGCCCCAGGATCCAACACCAGCTCCTCACCTCGGTGTCAGATCCAAACTTCCCAGGCACGAGCCCAAGGATTTATCTGCCTTTGTCCCCTCCCTCCTCCCACATTTGTTATTAAACATTTCTTATTTGTTATTAAACTGCGGCCGCTTATCTGTAAATCCTGCTTCTTAAACCAGCAAAGCCACACCACAGCTCCTGAGTGCCACACTCTGTCCCATGGCCTGGGGGACGCCAGGAGCTCATCACCACACACCCTGTCTGCCCTCAAAGCTCACCCACCACAAGGATCCCACCAGGGTGAGGATCCCACCAGGGTGAGGATCCCACCAGGGTGAGGATCCCACTGGGACCTGGATCCCGCCATCACATGGATCCCACCACAACACTTCTGCATTTTCACCCAGCGACCAAACCACCCAAAGCATCCTCGAGGCCGAAGCAGCCAAGTGGAGCGAGTCCTCAAGGAAAAGGAGCCATTCCAGAGAGGAGCTTCACCACCAAGCGTGGGATAGAGCCGGGAGACAGGAAGGATTCGCTGAGGCAGCCCTGGCATCAGCAGCACAAACCCACTGAGGCCGGCCAGGGGCAGGAGGAGCTTTCTGAGGAGCCTCCGGGCGCTCCAGCAGAAGTTGCACAGCTGTCCCGGCTGGGGAGGACAGATAAGGCTCCAGTGATTCATTCAGTGTAAACCTTTATTTGCTCTTGCTCGCCCAGAGCAGCCAGCAGCTGCTAACGCTAAACTGGGCCGGCTCCCAAGCGCAGACAAAGGCCTGCAAAAATGGCTTTAAGGAGGAACTGACTGCTCAGAAAAGCAATCCTAGAAGAGGGAGTTAGAAAGAGGGAGCGCAGCGCGGCGCAGGAGGAAGAGGAAGCCAGAGAGCACCTAAAAATAAATTTTAAAAAAAGCAGCGAGGCGCAGGACAAAGGCCTCGCGCGCACGTGACGTTCCCCGCAGCGGAGGCAGGATGCGAGCTCGGAACACAACACTCCCTCCCCAGCAACCCCACGTACAGAGCCCCAAGCACCTCCCAGCTCAGCCAAAGCCACCACCAGCACCTTTCTCACCCAGTTTGGGTTTTTTCCCCCCTGCCATAAATCCTCCAGGTGCAGGATGCTGGCCGTGCCCCAAGCTGGGCATGACCAACGCCAGGGTGGAAATGCACCTAACCCAGCAAGGCTGGAGGCAGAATAGCTTGAAAATGTTAAAGGAATTGAAAGGAAATCTGGAAAATGAGGTTCCTCCCAAGCAGAACCCTCAAAAATAGGCAAAATCCTGCAGAAGCATTACGCCTTCATCCCCCCAGGCAGTGCCTTCACCAGATCTGAGCAGAGCTTGTGGGAAACTCGTGAGTTTGCTCTGGAGCAGCCAGAAAACGCAGCTGACAGAGGAGCCTCTCCTGTGCCTGCTGCTGCAGCTGGGACTGGTGCTGTGGCTCCCATCCTGTGGTTCCAAGGCTGCAGAACGACCTGAGATGGGACATCAGCCCCCAGTGCCCTGAGCCTGAGGCAGCCCCGCTGGTGGCCCATCAATGCTTAATGTCCTGAGCTGGCCCCACTGGTGGCCCATCAATACTTAATGCCCTGAGCCAGCCCCGCTGCTGGCCCGTCCATCCCAGTGCCCTGAGCCTGAGACGGCCCCACTGGTGGCCCGTCCATCCCCAGTGCCCTGAGCCAGCCCCGCTGGTGGCCCGTCCATCCCCAGTGCCCTGAGCCAGCCCCGCTGGTGGCCCGTCCATCCCAGTGCCCTGAGCCGGCCCTGCTGCTGGCCCATCCATCCCAGTGCCCTGAGCCTGAGCCAACCCCACTGGTGGCCCGTCCATCCCAGTGCCCTGAGCTGGCCCTGCTGGTGGCCCGTCCATCCCAGTGCCCTGAGCCGGCCCTTCTGGTGGCCCGTCCATCCCAGTGCCCTGAGCCTGAGCCAACCCCACTGGTGGTCTGTCCATCCCAGTGCCCTGAGCCGGCCCCACTGGTGGTCTGTCCATCCCCAGTGCCCTGAGCCAGCCCCGCTGGTGGCCCGTCCATCCCCAGTGCCCTGAGCCTGAGCTGGCCCCACTGGTGGCCCGTCCATCCCCAGGGCCCTGGCAGGAGCTCCACGCCAGGCCCAGAAGTGAACCCGGCATTGTTCCCTCGCCATGGGCATCCTGAAGGATGCTCCCTCCACACCTTCCCCCAGCCCCGCCGGGGCTCACAGCCGTGCAGGGAAGGAACAAACGCCCAGGAACGGGAGAGGCACTTACAGGACGGGCTGAACATCACCAGCGTGGTGGAGATCTCCAACCCTGAGAACATCCAGCGAGTTTCGCTCCCGGGAAGCCGCGGCTCCGCATCCCACATTCACTTCTGCTTCATCCCTGCCGCCCGCCCGCTCCTCGGCGCAGCGGGGAGAGCATCGGAGCCGTGCCGAGCTGGGTCAGACACAACCGAGGCCGCGGAGCAGCGTCTCAGCGCTGACCCATCCCGGCCCGGTCCCGGCTATTTCCCCGGCACACCGGGCACTCAGAGCCCGCAGCGGGGGCAGTGCCCACAGCGGCCCCTCCGAGCCACCCCGGGCCAGCAGAGCCCCGCAGGGCACTCGCTGCTGCTCCTCACGCCGCGCTCCCCGAGCTCATGACTGAGCAACGCCGGCGAGCCAAGAATAGAGACCTTGAAGTGAAACCTCCCGGGATTGGCAGCTATTTCGGGCGCGCTCAGCCGCCGGGGCTGCGTGACATAAGAGGATATAAAAGAGGAAACTCTGCACAACAACTCTCACCTCACCGAGAGAGACGCGGGTCGCAGCAGGTAGGGCTGCTCTGAGCGCCCCTGGGGCGAAGCCAATGCTGGGACAGCCCCCGAGGCCACCCCAGTCCTCCCGGGTCGGCTGCACCGGGACCCCGAGGTGGCTGTCCCCAGCCCCAGAGTGCCCCGAGCATCCCCAGGGCTGAGCTGCAGCCCGGTGTGGCCGGGATGAGGCCAAGCCCCAGCACAAACCACCTCGAGCACGTCCAGCCGAGCCTGTTGCCACAGGTTCAGCCCGCCCAGGCACCTCCGTGGAGCTGGAGTTGCAGAGATGCTGCTGTGGCCAAAGGAGCCTCAAAGGGAGCCGGCAGGACCGAGGCACCCGGAGCACCCCCAAATCCCAAAGCTCAGATCCCAAATCCCAAAGCCCAGCTCTGCCCAAGCAGCTCCTCACAGCTCCTGGCTCAGCTCACCCCTGGAAGGAAGGGCTGGGATTGCACCCAGCCACCAGATGTGGGGAGGAAAGATCTGGTCCTGGTTAATAACCAGCATCAAGATTAATGCAGGGAAATTTAAATGGAAATTCTAGGAGCACGTTTGATTTGGACCCTTAGGTACCAGGAAAACAAACACACAAGCTGCAGTTTCTGGAGATCAAACTCAGCACCTGAAACCAGTCCCTGCCAGTTCCCAGCGTGTCCATCCCGTCAGCAGCTGCATTTGAATACTCATGATGCCACTGTGCTCTGCCAGCTCTCTCACATCCCAGAAATGTGCTTCCTCCTGGCTTTTTGGTCAGGAGTAAGTCACCAGCACAGCGTCTACAGTGCTAACTGGGAAGAGATTCCTCCCTATGAGTGTGGTGAGGCTCTGGCACGGGTTGCCCAGAGCAGCTGTGGTTGCCCCTGAATCACTGGAAGTGTCCAAGGCCAGGCTGGACAGGGTTTGGAGCATTCTGACACAGGGGAAGGTGACCCTGCCATGGCAGGGGTGGGCCTGGATGAACTTTAAGGGACCTCCCATCCTAAACCACCCTATGATTCTATGAAATAACTGAATTCCCCAAATTCTCTCTGTTCTAAAAACACCCTCCAAAACTTACCCAGGGCATGAGGGGGAACAGGGCACCTCTGATTCCATCCCTCACCCAGACAGTGATGGCCAGTTAAGGCCCTCCAGTTAAACCCAGCTTCCAAAGGCTGAATAACCACAAGCCACAGATCTGCTAAACGTGCAGTTCAATTATCCCAGCGCTGCTGTCCCCGTGCCAGCAGGTGACAGGGCCCAGACAAACCGTGGCAGGGACTGTCCCTGGCATGGGGACCCTCCCTGGGACGCTGCCACCTCCACTCTGTGCCCACCACTGCAGCGAGGGGCTGGTGCAGTCCTGGAAGAAGGAAAAGGCCGAGGCAGGGATGCTGCCGAGCTCAGCAGAGGCTCCTGCAGCCAGGAGTTCTGTGGTGCCTCCATCCTGGGACAGCAAGGAGCCAATGCCAGGCCACCCCGCAGGGCAGAGGGGACACACGGATGACAGGAAGGACATGGCAAAACCCAGGAATGAGCAAGGCAAGGACATGGGAGAAGGGACAGAGCCCACCTCGGAGACAGCTCTGCTGTGAATGTTCCCACCCTCAGCCACTGAGGGTAACCCCAACAGCAGCTGCTTCCAGCAGCCTCCCCAGGACTGCTGCAGGCAGCAGGATGGGGCAAAGAGGCCAAGGCAGGAGCAGAAGAGACAATTTTCATGTGGAAGTTGCACCCCCAGGTTACAAATGAAAGTTATCGTCAGTGCATGCAGCCCTGGGCACACCTGGGCAATTTACATAAGTCTTGAAGTTTAGGAAAGCATAAAAGGAAGAAAGAAATTGAGGGAGCAATCCTGGCTTTGTCTCCAGCATTGCAAGGAAGTTCTCCACATTTTCTGGGCTGCCCAAGGCTCCCCTTACGCAACAGCAACTTATGGAAAAGCAGCCTCAGCATCAAGAGTTTTCCCCTCCCTCGTGTGAGAGATCCTCCTTCCATGGGAGATTCTCCTTCCATGGGAGATTCTCCTTCCATGGGAGATCCTCCTTCCACGGGAGATCCTCCTTCCATGAGAGATCCTCCTTCTGTGAGAGATCCTCCTTCCATGGGAGATCCTCCCTCCCTGAAGTCTCAAGAACATCCCCAGAGAGCCGATCCCAGCACCACATCCCGACTCCTTCCTGCAGCATTAGGGAGCCGCTGCTCCTGCGAGAACTGCCCGGCTCCCACCTCTCTGGAGCTGAGCTCTGAGGCACTTCCAGGGCTGCAGCAAGCTCCAGAGGCTCTTTGGACATGCTGCTTTCTTTCAGAGCAGCACATCTCCCAAGCGAAACAGGGGAGGACCCAGAGAAACACTGCGAGGATGCTCCACCACTGACAGGGACACCCCACACACGTTAAAATTCTCTCCATGAGGAGAAACCTCTGTCCTCCTGTTCCCTACCCTTGGTCCCACCTTTCACCGTGGAGCAGAGCGTGCCCAGCTCAGCGGGGTTTGTTTTGCACTGGGGTGAGCCGTGTTTTGATCCAGCTCTGCAATGCAGCCCTGCGGAAGAGCCAATTCTCCTGCTGGCACCGTTCCTGCTCCTGGATACCAACAGCTCACGGGACAAAGCCCGATGGATCCGGGTGTCAGGGTGGATTCTCACTCTGCTGAGGGACAGGGCAGCCAGGGAAAGCCCCACAAACACCTTCTGAATTCTCCTTCCAGCAAGCCTACACCACACCTGGCCTTGAGACTGAAGGTTTAGGTTGAGGAAACCAACACAGGTGGGCTGGATGTGTGCAGGGATCACAGACAAACCCAAAAGTGGGCTGGATTTGTGCAGGGGTCAGATGTGAGGCCACTGCCCCACTCCAGCCCTTCTGTGGGGCCGGGACCCCCATGAAGACCCACCCTTGGGATGTCCCCTCCCTGCTGGAGGCCTCCCTGGCTGACAGCGTGGCGCTGACTCAAGGCTCTTTCCTCAGCATCCTCGCACGTTGCCCAAGAGGCACCACCACGGTGACAGGGACGTGTGGCACCCACAGCTCTGCCACCTCAGCGACGCTGAGCCGCCTCCAAGGCGGGTCTGGGAAAGCTCCAAACTCCCTCCAACGGGCACTTGGGCCCTGTTTGCTATTTACAGTGTGACAACCGGCTGGGACGGTGCCACCCAGGCTCCTGGCTCTGCCCAAACTCCAGCCAAGCGGCCAAGTCCCGCTCGGCGCTACCGGAATTCGGCACATTCATTCAGAGTTAGCAACTGCTGCTATATCGGGAAGGCAGCTTCAAGGGAAGACAGAGCTCTCCAAGAGAGAGAAAGAAAACAAATCCCTCGCCTGCAGTCTGCAGGCCAGTGCTGCTCTCCTAAATTTCCTTGGCTCAGCTTAACAAGACCCGGGTTTTTATGCTAAAAAGTGAACATTTACCAGCCCTGCACACCCCTGAACTCTGGACACCCCCTTCATGACTCCATCACATCAAAGAGCAAATGTGCCAATTCAGACCTTCCCTGAGTGACAGAATTGCCCCGAACAAACCCTGGCCCAGCCCTGCCCTTCGGGAATGGCACCTGGAGCAGAGCAGCCGGTCCAAGGAGGTGGGTGTGGGGTGACCAGAACCAAACCCCGTGTGTGAGGGCACCAACAAAGGCAGGAAAACATCCCGGCCGCTGGCGGGGCTGCTCCCAGCAGGGCTTTCCGAGGTATTTTTAGGGCACTGAGAGCCGCAGACAAGGACCGGCCGTGCCTGGCGGGAGCCGGAGCCGTGGCCACGGGGGCTGGACACCCCACTCAGGACGGGCAGGACACGCCGCTGTGCCCGTGTGTCCCCTCCCCGCCTCGGCAGGGCCACACGAGTCAGCAGAGAAGCTGTTCAGCGGGAGCCAGCAGAGCCCGAGCGGGACGGACGCATCCTGCCCGCGGGGAGCACAGTGAGGGAATGAGACAGACACGGCGAGGAGTCGGCAGCTCCAGCTCCAGGACTGACTCACCTCCCTCCTGCGCTGTCCCAGAGAGCAGCGGCGGGGCTGGATGGAGATCAAAAGGTAATAAATCAGATGGGAACAACTCAGGTTTGATGTTTGAACCAGAGATGGAAGAGGAGATTCGCCACCTCCCCTGCTGGAGTCGGGCAGCGGGGCAGAAGGAGCTGCCTGGATTCGGAGCCTTGCCAACACACTTGTTTGTTTTTTCCCCTCCTCAAGGTCCCAGCTGTTAAATCCATGATTGCAGGATTTCCCAGACTCACTGAAAAAGTACATATGCCATTGTGTCCCACTGATGGAACAGGAAAAAGCCTGAAAATCTGAGCCACAGACTCCAAACACACAAGGTCTCCTTACAACTGACGTTTTCAAACATCATTTTTCTTTCAACAGTTTCTAAATGGTTCAGACTTTTGCAGCACTGCCTTTCAGCTTCCCCAGAATTGCTCCTATCCCAGTGTCCCACGGTGGGGGAACTTTTTGGCATCAAGTGTCCCAAATCCATTGATGTTGCCACTCACATCCCCAGAGCCTCAGAGGACTTTGGGCCACCAGCCTCCAACCCCTGATGGAAGCTGGGTCTTGACTCCAATTCCCATCCAGCCAAACGTGAAGACAGAAGCCAGGGCTAGTCACTTGCACTCCAGCCACCCAAATTCCGCATCTCTCAACTCAAATCCAGGCCCAGTCACAGGAGGACGCAGAGTTTCTCTCTCTGCTGCTCCACAGAGAGCACGGTGTCGCACTGAAACGCCCCTGCCAGCTCAGAGCCGCCCAGGACAGCAGCCAGCACCCAGCCAAAGCCTCTCCCTGCCCCGGGGAGGTTCCCAATGAAGCCATTTAGTAACTGCAGGAAAAGACACGCTCCTGTGTGCCTATCCACGCTCACCTCATCCCTGCTATGCTG